TCCTAAAAGTCAAATGCCAAATGATTAGTTTTTTGGGCCCTATTTTGCGAGACAAGTTTTAAAATCTTTTTAATTTTTAAAAAACTTTCTAATATGCCCAAAAGATTAATTTTTTTTTATCTGTACTTTTTATAATCAAGCTTTCACTTTTTACGTATTACCTACATAAAATGATTTTTGCATATATTGTCATTGGTACTTGATTTTCATAAAAAATGGTTACATAAAAAATTTACTAAATATAATTATAAATCATTTTTACTTTAAATTACTATTTGATTTCTTTTTCTCATGAGGGTGTAGACAAAAACCTTTTTTTGTATTTATAAAAAGTCAAAGTTGACTAGCGATTTTTAAACAAACAATTTAAAATGAGACACAATAAAATTAAATTTTTGTATTTCATTTAAAACTTTTAAATAATATAGAAAAAGTTTTTATTACTGAAGTTATGTTTATTTTACAGATTATAGGCCTTTTTTAACACTGTAAAAATTTCATTAGGACACTTTTTAAATGTTGCCCTTTCTAAAATCAGAAATAAGAAAAAAAATAATGGAAGGGTTTTAAATTTATTTACAAAAATTTGCAAGTTTTTAAAATTTGATTTTAATTTATCACAAAGAAATGTGTTTAAAAAAGTATCAATATGCAGATTTTATTTTAAGGGGCAACCTAAAAACTTTTGGAAACATTAATGCGAAAGAGATCAACATCCTAGGTAAGAAGATCAGGGTTTCCCTTTTACTTTTTTTGGAACTGTTACTTTCACGCCAAACAGAGTTTGGCGAAATAGTCCAAGTACGTGTCATTTTCGCAATATATGTTTAAATGGTATCGCAACAGGACGACTCTATTCGGGGAGAAGAGTCTTTAGGGAATTTTTTGCCAGTTTGAGCAGAGCGGGGATCTAAAATAAAATTTTAATGTTTTTTTATTGCCAAGGTAAATAGAAAATACGCACAGGTAGAATTTTAAAAAGTTAAGGCTGCTCATTAAAGTACTAATCACAAAAAAAAGTTAGCAGAAAGAATTACAAAAAATTTTTTAAAAAATGTGGCAGCCACGCATTTTGGGGGTTTTTTTTTCGGGGTTGAATTTTTTAAAAAATAGGGTATAATTATTTGTTTAAAAAAAAGTATGGTCAAACGTTTTGGTTGTTATTTCTACGTGTAAAATTTTAAAATTTTGGGTTTTAGGTTGTGATTTTTATGATCTAACTCGCGTACCGCGCTATTGACATCTTGTATCTTTATAATGATAATGCTTTTCTTTTAAAAGAAAAAAAATCTTAATGGATCAATTTCATTTTGAAAGATTCAAAAAGGCAAAAACGGCTACTAATTAATAAAAAAGGATTAAAATTTTATACTTAATTTAAATTATTTAAATACCTAAAAATATTTACTTTGATAATCAAAGCGTTCGTTTGTCCCCAATTTTTCCGAAAAAATGCCAGGGTTCTGTAAATGTTTTTTCATCGAAAGGGTTTCTGTTTTTAATTTGTCTCTGCCTTTGCTCGGAAGGACAGATAACGTTGATCAGCGTCGGTTAGAATAATCCCCAAAAGGCACCAAAATGAATTCGTATTTTTATATTTTTTGAGAGGGAGGCCCTGGTTCCGAAAACATAGTAATCGGCCCGTCGAAGGATAACAGGCGTCACGAAAAAATGGTTAATAAGTATTGGTTGCTTTTCACCGAAATTTTTCTCTAACGAATTTAAAAAAAAATGCTTGAATTTTTTTTAAAATTTTTTTTCATCAAACCTTTTCCGAAATAAAAGCACAAAGAAAAGAAATTTTTAATTGGATACGTTCAGAAAATTAGCGCTCCTACATTTCGGGATTCTTTTATTTTAAGATAGATGTGAGATAGAATTTCCCTTTTAGTGTTTTTGGACAAAACAATTTTTTAAAAATGATAAAACCAAATAATTTTACCTAGAAAAATATCACCCTTTTCCCCCACCCCACCCCCCAGTATTTTTTTGGGAGAAGCCCGTTGACCTTTCGTAAAATTGCTCCTGCGTAAATTGCCTAATTTAAAACCGAATTATCTTCGTATTTTTAACCGGGGGGAATAAGATAAAAGGTATACACCCTTTACATAGTTAGGTATGCCTTTCCCTCTCTTTTTCTCGGTAGTTTTTAAAATTTTCAAAAAGGGTAAAGTTCTTTTCATCCAATTCACCCCGGGGGTTGTCGTAAAAGCCGACTAAGGGCAAAAAAAAACCCGCGGGTACCCCCAGCCTCCCAGAAAAGGAAATTTGGGACACAAACCCTATCCCAAACCCCTTCGGGCCGGGCTTTGTAAGTGGGCCCAAAAAACCCCCCCTTTCAAAGGGGGGCCTATGCCCAAACATGGACTTTTAAAGGCTGTCGATGATAAGAAAAATTTTCCCTTTTTGCAAATTGCCTTTTATGGAGGGATTTTTTGGGTAATAAATACCTCTCTAGGGTATAGTCCCTTTAGACAGGTAATGACTTCCCGAAAGGGGTGACCCTCTCTTGGGAAAAAAAACCAATGGAAACAAAAAAAAAAAAAACCTAAATTTTCCTTTTTTTTAATTTTGGGGCGTTAAAAAGTGAAGTGAATAAAGTTATGAAGTTCCTTTGTTTGTGAAAATATTCCCCTTAAAAAAACAAAAACAAGACAACAACTTAGCTATTAAGGGTAAAGAAAACGAAACAATTTTAAACGGGGGTAAAAAAACCAAACCCCAACGCGATAAACCCGTCTTGGATCAGTAATTACACTCACTTGTAGGGGAAATTTTTTCTTTTTGGCACAACAATGTCAGGTTGCCCGGGGACACGGGGTTAAATGTTGCGATGTCTAAGGGTATTTAAGGCAAATTGTCGGGGAAAGATGAAAACCCTCCCATCCCCCCGGGCCCCAAAATTTCTGACTTTCGACGAAGCCCAAACTTTTATCAGCTTAGCGCGGTTGAAGTCTTTTTTTTTTACCGGGAAAATTTTGTTTTTTTTATTTAAAGTTTCAAAAAAATCAAAAAAATTTAAGGAAAAAACTTTTCAAAAGCATACCTTCTTGTTAAATTTAATGAATATTCCATATTCAATTTGTTTTTTTCATCAAGAAAGGATTCATGTGATTTAAAAAATTGCTAAAATTTTTTTTACGGGGCTCCCGAAAAAAAATCAGTGCAAAATTTTGAAAGTCTTCACAAAGTTTTAAAAAAGGGGTATATTTTTTTAGGTAAGAGGCTTTGACGAACGGCGGCTTCGACTTTTTGGAGAGGTTTTCAGAGGGGTGCCCCCCGCACGTTTTTTTGTTACTTATACCGTCGTCCCCTATTATGGCCCTCGTATTCGGTCCTTTAAGTAAAAACGAGAGTCCGAAAATGTATTTTTAAAAATTCCAAAGAACATCGAAACGAATCTATGGACCACCTTCTTGATAGGGAAAATTCTGGCTGTGAAGGTTTTTCAAATTTTAAAAAACAAAAAAAAATCCGCTAACGTAAGTCCAAAAAATTGTTTTAAAGTCTTAAACCCTTTTGGCACAATAAAGGAACTTTTTGGGCTGGGGGAGTGCAGTTCGGCGGTATATCCGTCCGCCCCATTGGATTTCTGGGGAAATTTTTTTCCGGCTAATTCCAGTTCCCTTTTGTTAACTGGTAGGGACCTAGGGAAAAAACAAACCCAAAAATAAAATAATTATTCACTAAAAAGTTTTCTTAAAGTTTCAAACTTCCTCTTTTCGGCAAAACAGATTCTATTAAAACAGCAAAAAGGGAAAGCCCTCTTTCCCCGTCATTTGACATTTTGAAGGTTTTGTCCAGATTTGCAAAAAACAAAAAGGTCCCCTTTAAAGTTTTTCCCGCATTTTAAAAATGGTTTGCCCGAACAAAAAAAATCTTGTCAAGAAAAAAAAACGAAGGATCTTTTAAATTTTTTCCCCCCCAACTTTAAAAACGTCATTTAAGTAAAGAAAACAAATTTATTCAGTCTCGATCACGTTGAGAAAATTTTTTCGCTTTGTATAAAACCCTTGATAATGCTTTCGTTAAACAAAAAGTTTTGGAGCAATGATTAAATTTACTTAAAAATGAATACTTTTGTGTCGTAAAAAACTTCCCCTTTTACTGAATTTTCACTGAAGTTCAACATTTCAACTTTTTTTTTTTTATTATATAAACCCCTTTTAGAAAACGTTTCAAATATGATTTGGAAAAAAATGAGAATAAGAAATTTGAATAAATTAACCCCTAAAACCAGAATTCATCATTTTCCAAAATTCCCTTAAACCCATTTTTTATTTTGGGGGAAAGGGGAAAAAAAAAACATTGCAAAAAGCTTTTTGGACATCAAGCATTCTTTTGAAAATGTGAACGTTTTTCAGCCCGGAAGGGAAAGAAAAAGGGCTAAAAAAAGGAAAAAAAAATGGGAAGGGAGGGTTTTAAAGGGCACGGATAAGGGGAGGAAACAAGGGGATCCCTTTAAAGTAGAAAGGGGCTACAAAACAGTAAGCCCCGAGAAACTTGGTAGTCTACCCATGGGGTCAGGCCTTTGATAGGAGAAACCACTCTGACAGAGAAATCAACTATTCATTTTGATTACTTAATCGCAATTAGATAATAGAGTGTCGATAAGAGTGTGTGAGATTATCGGGTAATTGGTGCAACACTGAACTTTTCTTTCTAAGATCCGGCAAATAAGTGTGTGAATCTTATAATTTCAAAGACAATTCTTATTCTGCTTATCCAGGCTCACCCTAAAAGATTTTTCTGTAAAGTGAATTACCTAAATCGGGAGGGGGTTTTGGCGTCCACATAACGGAGAGTAGGTTTAGTCTTTTTTTTAACTCCTTTTTTCTGTCATAAAACCCATTCTGGCTGCTTCCATAAGCTTTGGGGATAATCATCGGGGGTAGAGTTTTCCATTTATACGAGTTTTTGTTAATTGTCAAAACAGCAAGATCTGGGACCCTTTTATTGAAGTAGATTATTGGTTATTTCGAAGTGTTCGTATTGGGAAATTAAAGTAGCTGTATTGTTTTTTTCAATTGTGCTTCTCTCATCTCAGAGATTTTTTGGGAAATTTCAGTTTGAAGGGCCCTTTTCCAAATGTTTTCTTGAAGTTCCTCAGCGTTTCTGGAATAAACAAGAGAATGTTCAAGATTTTGTATTTTTTTTTTTTTACTCTCATTAATGTATTAATGAAAACAGAAAAAAACATGGGATCATCAGAAACGATACGATGTAGTATCAAGATTATTTTGTTTGTTCCAAGTTTAATAAATTTTATTCCTGGCCGTTGGGATTGTAAAAGTGAGTAAACAAAAAGGTGAGCATTGCGTTTTATTTTTTATTGAAGTACAAATTTAGATGAATATAAATTATGGTTAACTGCAGTACAGTTAGGTAAAGGGAAACTCACTTTAATGAAGGTCCTCCTAGTTTCATCTTCAGGCCATCATTACTAACCGTATTTAGGATTCAACAAACTTTGTCGCAACAAGTTGCCAAAAAAATCATACCATTCCAATTTCGAGACCTTAGAGTGCCACCTCCTGGCTCTATCATTAAGTCACCTCCAAGATACCAAATTACTAATAGTGTTTTCATCCATATAAAGTACATACAAATTTTCATTGTTATACGATGAAATTTAGCAGATGGATAAATTTCACTTACAAGTTTCATAGCTATGCAGAGCCTGTCTATGGTCAGACTGCTGGTAAGCAATAAATTACACACAGTCTCAGAACAAATGATCATACTCATTTCAGAATTATTAGCTCCTGGTGGGAATCGAAACCACGTCCTCTTTCTTAGCAGTCAGGATCACTAACCGCTAGACCAACAGGTCAGTCTGAGTTCGTTAAAATTAAAGAAAAGTGTTATAAGAATTTTCCAAGTATAATTTTGCATATACCTGAAGGTAGGCTGTGTAGCGTTGTAAAGCGGAGTGTAGAGATAGGTTCTTAGTGGTGAAGCGTCAAGTATGGAGCCGAACAGGTACTCAACGGCTGCGAGGGCCAGCACGAGCAGCAGAAGCAGGCGCAGGGCGCGCGCTGCCCGCCCTCCACCTGCGTTCGCACCTCCGCCCATCAACGCATGAAATGTTCGCGCGCACACGCCGACCTCTGCAATAAATAATACATTTTTGTAAGTAATCATTTTTTGTCAAATCCCACATGTAATATAGTACTAGTATATTAAAAGGTATCACTCGTTCTTGAATATGAATGTGGCCTTAGGCCGTAAATGTATGTCATAGACAGAATATTTTACAAGACAATAAAAGTATTTCAAATGAACAAAACAGTTGCAATTCTATTATTAATTGAAGAAGATTTTTTACCATAAGTCATAATGTGGTATCTTACGTACCAAAGCAATATCACAATTTAACAAATACATTTAAAGAAACTTATTTATTTCCATAAATAAGAGTTTCTTTATTTTATAACTAAGAAAGAAGACTAGTTTTAGTGAAAAATATGTATAATAAAAAAAAAACAGTCCGAGCCTTACATTAGTCGAATATGATGTATTGACTCATATACGACTACTACTGGAACTGCACCTGTGATAAGGCCCAAGTGTGAGTTTATTTCACTACTTTTAAACAATTACTTATTTTTTAGAAGCACCGAAAACTAAGATATACGATCCTGAACAAGACGTGTCAGATTAATTCCCTCAGCAACTGAACATGGCAGGTGATGTGTACGCACCAAATGATGTCACGTAATTTTTTACACACGTGTACGCCCGGGAAAGGGTCCAAACGATTTTTTCCTTGATCCGGCTTTTTTCGGGCAAATCTGATACGCTTAAATTTGGCTACTCGTAAATGATGGAAAGAATTATTCATTTGCGAGAAAGTCGACTGTCGGCTTTGTGAGGATTTTGGAATGTAGTAAAGTTGCCAATATAGTAAGAATATAATATTCTGTTTGTAATTGTTTTAAACTTTGGCAGTAAACTATGATATCACATTTAAAAACAGTTTCCTGTAAAGCGAGATAAACATAAGGCATAAACTTATAAAAAAAAGGGTAAAGTAAGACTAGAAGCCTATAAAATGTGGGAATGCAGGATATTATGTTCTGCAATCCACATTAGAAATTATACACAGACAGTCCTGTTTCGTAAAAGTTAATGTTGTCATAGGATATACCACTTAATTTTTATACACACTTATAAATTTTTAGTGTTTTTGTATCCTTGTAAACTATTTTATATATATATATATTTACGATTAAAATAGCTGCACTCTGAGTCGGCAGACAATTCCTTTTTTTTTTGCATTTCCCAACGGTGCACACGAATCCTATTTGGAGGACGATGAAAGAAAAATAAACAAAAGATCGAGCATAAAGTATTCAAACATGAGCTTGAATACTTTGTAAATGCAAATGCTAACGACATAAAATGTTTGGACTGCTATGTCTTTATATATTATTATTTTTATATAATCTGCAACAAAATCGTAATCATTTAAAGAGATTATATAGTAAACGATTTCTGACCTCCATTAACATTCGCCCGAGGGCGACGGACAAGGTTATCTATCGCTTAGCAGATGCAGATGGGGGCGTTCACTTCAAATTAGAAGGCATAAGACCCACCGCACATTATAATGGGATCCCTTTGTAGATCAGATTGCCAACTCTGCCGGGGTTCACAGAGATTTGGGTTTTTACTTGATACCCAGGCAATGGGACCTGGTGACGTGACATTGTGTGTGTTAGTCGGTTTGTGTTCGATACTGTTGTAGTTTGACACTGGAGAGGTGACTCCTAGTGGTGGTTTCATACACACGTAAAAAAAAAACTATAGTAAAAGAATCGGTTTAGTCTTTATATAGGATGATTATATAATTAGTGCTTCACAACAGATATCTGTTCTAGCCAAAATTAAGTTTTAACTGATGCAGTTTTTACAATTATGTTTACGGCAATTAACGCGCCCACGATAGGTACTAAGTACATTTATACCTTTGTAATGCCCGACGTTTCGACCAAGTTGCACTGGCCGTGGTTGCACTTGGAGCACAATAATTTATTATGGATCACGATAGTTTCAAGGTTAGTAATGATGCAGTTTGTTCTACGCACATTCTTTGGGTAGAAAAACAAACATTGAGTACAAGCAGTGTGTTTTATTCAAGACTATCATATTTCTGTTATAATACTGACCTCAGCAACAGAGATATTTAAAGAAGGAGCTCGATGGAAATGTCCCATTCTCTTCAGAGAAGATTGGTGACGTCACTTTTCATAAACACGTTCATCTTATCTGAAACAATAGAAGTATAATCATATATATATCGTTATATCATACTTGATTTTGCCCGCGGCTACGCCCGCGTTTTTACCGTAATAACCGACATCGTTTATTACGGTAAAAATAAATTTGAAAAAAGCGTTGGGTGCCTGTTGTCAATAGTAAAAAGCACCCCACGCTTTTTTTCAAATTTATTTTCTATTTTTTAGTTTGGTTTTCTATAGAAAGCGTGTTTTTTAGTTTTTTAAAACTATAATTTTTTTATTTTATTTTTTAAATTAGTGTATTGTCATCGGTCCTCGATATATCTACAAAGTTTGAACGAATTCTGACCATTTAAAGTCAGTCAAAATCACGCCCAAAGGAGTCGGTTACAAACATACAAACAAACACAAAAGTGAAGCTAATATAAAGCGTGTAAAAACGCGGTTGCCCATCTCACTCGCTGATAATGGAGCTTTCCATTGGTGAAATAATTTTTAAATTTTAAAAGAAAAGCAAGTCTGAGTTTCTCAACTATTGTACAGCCTATTAAATTGTTTTTTTTCCATTACATAAGTGAACGGTGCTTTTTACTTTTCCTCAATGTAATTACATTATTACGGTGCTTTGCATACAAAGTGTATTTTTCTATTCAATTCTGTCGTTGTCTGATCCCAAACTAGGCAGAGCCTGTACTATTGTAACCAGACTGCTGATAAACATACTTTTATATTTTTAAATACTTACATATTATAGATAAAATACACCCAAATACAGAACAAATGACCGTGCTCATCACACAATATTTGTTCTGGGTGGGATTCGAACCTGCGACCTCCGTCTTAGCAGTCAGGGTGACTAACCGCTAGACCAACAGGCCCGTCGAAAATATTTACAATCACTGACATATTTTATGAAAAATATGATAACTTGATACGCTATATCACATTTGGATTTCCATTAACACAAAGAAAGAACACGAAACGAATTAACAGTAAAATGTGAATAAAACAACGAGTGGCCAATGACGCCGAAGTAGCGTCATCGCTTAACAGGGCCAAGAACGCCTCTGGCGCGGCATCGAACAAATGTTTTAGCCCGTTCTAATAATGAACCGAAATGAAGGTGGCGATGAATCGGTTAACTAGAGATATCGCCTGGAGGTCGAATTCCGACCACAATTTAGTACTTTATTCATTACTTCTTACTTACTACACTCGTAAATTTGTATGTACAAAACAGTCTGAAGTAATTTACATTATTAATCTATTATAACTTTAACATATGATCGTCCTGTAACTAACATCATAGTCAAGCGACTGCCTGAAGCACAGGTCTCACACCTAGCTCAGGCCGTTTGCATAAGAATTTGTAATATTTTGATTTTACCTTGGTAGATATTCACTCTTGCACATTTTATTACAGACCTACTAGTTTTATTTAAGCTTTAGTAACAAACTTTAAATACGAATCTAATAACAACAAATAAATCATACAAAAAAAGGTAACCAAGACGTTATTCTGATTCTGCATATATTTGTATATATATATATATATATTTTATTACAGACACATTCTTTTTTTTTAAATAATATTAGTAGGTATTAACTGTCTGTATTTCTAGGTAACAAATATACTGAACTATAACTTGGAAGTATCCGGTTTTACGTAATTTTTAAAGCAATTAGATCGAAGCGAATCAGTTTTGTTTAGAACTAAGCTTTCTGTATTCAAATATTAAAATTACACGCTTCTCAAAGAGTCTACAATTGTGAATATATCCACTATTACGACTGAAATTTCGGATGGATGAGAGTGTCAATCATTAAAGAAGGTACTAACAACGTATTAGGATTAAATTTGGCACAGGGATAGATTTTAGTCTGGCCTTTCGCATAGGCACTAGATTTTGTCCCCAAAAAATTATTGCCAAAGCTCTTACTGGGACTGGATTTTTTTACAGCATAGGGGGGCAAATGAGCAGCGTCACCTAATGGAAAGTGACACCTGCTGCTAAAGACACACAAGAGCGTTGCCACCCTTTAAGTACCCTTCTCTTCCTAGCAAAGGTTGCTAAGAAGGGAACGGCATTCACTCGCTGAAAAGCAGAGTTTAGTAAACAACTTGTAACTTGCAACATACAAAATTTCCAACACCTTTGGTTGTAAATTATAAGACTTCCTCCTTGGCTCTTAGAATTCCGATAGAAAACGGTTTCAGTATTGTTAAATATTCACTAAAATATATTACCTACATTCCAACCTATTCCACTATTTTTAACAGTCGCAAAAATATTTGCAAAAATTAGACCGGAAATTTCTGCCCATAAACATTACATGTTAATATGTTTTGATAAAAACGAACCGTGAAATACGAAACAAATAAAGCGGTTCCTTCGAAACATAAAAAATTATTGCAACATAAACCGCTAGTATTAAAGCACTTTTAATGATACCATAAATATTAAAAATCGTTATAAAACTAACAGCGTGCAAAGTTATAGATTATTGGTAAAAAAAAAATGAAAATTATTACGCCTTGTTATTAATGAAATAGAGGTGATCAGTTTATATCCCAGTCTTAGTATAATAGATACTCCAATTATAGGACATAAACACGGGTAACGCGTCCCTAGTCTTTCAAATTAAGTATTAGCTTCGTTTTTCAATTAGGATTTTCAGTATCCTCTTGCTAGTTAGGAGATAGGAGCTTGTTCTAGAGTAAGTTTCCTTCCTCCTCCTTTCTTCCTTACTCTAAGTTACATTCTACCTTTATCGATAAATGATTACATACACAAGGACAACAATAATATTCAAAGATGGCTGAATTCAATGCATGTCACCTCGCACCTTCCTAGTGCACTGAGTGTTGCGGGTTCGATCCACATTGGGCAACACTTTGTGTGATCCAAAAATTGTTGTTCTGAGTCTGGATGTTTGTGCCCCCTCGATACGGGATATGTTCCTGGTGCGGGTGTAGTCTTAACAAAATTGGAATGGGGTGTTCTACTAGAAAGCGTCTCATAGTGTGTTGTATGGGAGTAGAAGAAGGAATTTACGAAATGTTTCTGCATTTCCTAATTTTCTTTAAAAGAGACGTTATTGCTTTGCTGAAGTTTGAAAAAAGGCTGAAATATATATTATAAATATAGAAGGTACAGAAGATATGGCTGGATTTTTACCTTACGAAAAGAATATTCAACAAACACAAAAATACAGCAATTGAAACGACTGTGTTTGAAAGTCCATATTACGAAAAGTCTATTGAACAAAGTGGTCCAATCACAAGACATTATGTCATTATGACAGACGGAAAAAAATGTGTGCGTCGCAGCCCAAATAACACATTTGGATAAGACATGGCAATTATTGATACTCCTAAATCGTAATCATATGATGAAATGATTAGTTTAAGTCACAGAGGTTTCACCTATGATTTGGTCATAGTCAAAAATCTTTTTATTAAAGATTACGATTTTGAGACCTTTTTTTTTATTTAGACTTTTCGCAAGTCTGGCGCTAGCGTAATAATAAGTCGCAGTAGTTTTGTAAAATAGTTAGAGCTGTGATTATATGATTTTTAAATTATATGATTTTTCGTAGGTGGTTGTCATTTTCTCCATCCACAATTTGGTTATTTTAGTATAGATGTGTGATTAGGTGCTGTTTTATAGCAGCGTGTGAAGACTGTCTATTTCCGTTTTTTCCATAAACATGTCAACAGCACATTTTAAAGCTATGAACACAAGTCGAAGATATAATATAATTAGACAAAGAATGGATAGATAAAATATTCTCTGTTCTAAGTATAAATGTACAGCACTTATAGTATCTGTGATATCGTCCAACAAGGTGCCTATGTTGGGTGATGGAAGTGCCTGAATCCATAACCCTGATTCCCATTCTCCAGCAGCCAACAAACGAGCGCGCTCAGCAAGATTTATTGCTGTATTAATCATTGTTTTTTTGTTTTAAAATACATAGTGGCGCGTCCCATTGTCCGTGAGAAAATTGATTAATAGGTAATATTGTATTGTAAAAAATGTGTATATTTCAACTCACTAAACTGTATCAGTAAAAAGTCCAAAAATATTATACTTACTTTAAGCTATAAATTTATTAAATTAATGACATTATTATCTATCAAAAAGTACAAACATCTTCAATGACTAGTCTGATTCTGTCTTCAATCTATACTGTCTTATTAAATGAATAGATAGTCAATAACGATGTGGTCGTTGTTTCGGCCCGGTCTGGTTTTGGCCCACAGGCACAAACGAGGAACTTAAATTATAACCTTTAAATTATTTTATTTAATATTTTTTATTTGTTGATTTGATTAGTTTCAAGCCGTCGTTTAGAATAGTTCCGATGCAATCATTTCATCTTATGCAATAAAAACAACTATAAACACGTATCGGTCTCTCCATGGAATCTGTACGAAGAAATAACAAACCAAAGTTATTTAAGAAATCTCAAAAAAAGCAAACATACTCAATTGTTTCAAGAAGAATTTATTATATTTCCAAAACAAAGCATTTTAGTCTG